ATTTTTGACAAATTTTCATGTAGGATCTGCTAAGGTCCTTTTGCTTCCAGAGAAAGAGAGCCCATGCTTTTGTGGAGAGGACAGGAGTGGAGGAGCTCTTCACTCTGAGTGTTTGGGTTTTGGAAGTTCACCAGATGCAGGGTTGGGCAAAAGTTAAGTTTACCATTGTGAGTACGTGAAACGGGACTTATTCTTGTATTAATTATTTACTATACCTCCATTAAACTATACTACTTATTAATTATTGTGTTGCTGTCCATAGGAAAAACTGTAAACCTACTTTTGTGCCCACCCTGTATAGATAAACCCATGATTCAAATTTTACCTCTCCAGTGGCTTCCCCTCACCCAGCCTCAATCACCTTCCCACTCAAACTCTTCTCCCTTTTGTATTTGTCACTGCTGCCCAAAGTTTAGGGTAGGGAGCAGTCAGTGGGTTAAAACCAAGAATCCACACTTCTATGTGATCTGGATGCTTTTGGATTTGAAAAGTATGAAAATCACATATCCCGAGTTTCATTTTCTAGGAGAAGTGAAAAATAGTGGTTGGAAGGCAGGAGAAGAGAACCACAATAGATAAGTGGGAGGGAGCCCAGGGCGCCACCCTGTCCACCTTCCTGACCAGCATATGCACCCTCCATGGCATCCCTCAGCAGTGGCCAGTCAGCCCCTATTTGAACATTTTCATGGGTGAAGGGCTTATAAATTTTTGAAGCAATCAGTTGAATTAAGATACTCTTTCCTTTTCTCACAGGGAATGGCCTAGGATAAAGAGAAGAGAAGCAGGTTCCCACTCATGTAAGACCTCTCCTGTGAGAAATAAGGAAATGTTTTCAGGCAAAAATTCCTTAAACAAGAATCAGCAGAAGGCCTCACCAACATTAGTGGTGTCTTTGCCTTGACACGAACAGCTGTGACAATTACGGAAGTACTGGGTCATGCTTGAGTGCAGTGGAGAGAGCTGGAAATAACCCACAGCGAGATGTCAGTTTGGGTACTTTCACACTCAAAGGTCTCTTAACTCGGACCTTGTTTTGAACGTCTTAAGTTTGGAAACTTTTTCATCCACAAGTACCCCAGCTTGAAAATGCCTTTTAAGCTGAGCTTATTTCTTTTTCCTGTTTCAGAATTCCTGACATAGACTGGAAGGGGGCCTCAAAATCATCTGTCAACATTCTTATTGTACAGAGAGAAGCTGAAGACCTGGGAGGTATAGAAATTTGTAAAAAATATCACATCTTTCACATGTCTTTTCTTTAGTTCTCCAACAATGCTTGTAAAGAGTGCTTGGGCCTTCTATCAGCTCCCTGCAAAGTTCAATTTCCCTCTAATTCTTCTCTCCACTGACCTCAGGTGACATGTCTCACTGCCTAAAGGAACTCTGTCTATTTTTAAGGTCTCTACTGATCATTGAGCAATGAGAGCAAGAGGGAAATTAACTTGATTGGATGCTGCGTTAGGAGATAGCCTGACTTGAAGGTGACTCTGGCTATTATAAGAATGACTTCCACAAGAATTACACAGAACTATCCAGAATACCCAAGGATTTAGCTTAAAAAGTTTAAGAATACTTCTGTTTGAGAAGAGTGGGGTCATATGGTGGGGTTGTAGAGTTCATCCACAGTTCTTTACTAGCATCTCTGTCTGTTAGCAAAGTCAACTCTTTTATGCCTCAGTTTTCTCAAATCTAAAAGGGACCATAGGTACAGCTGATATACAGCACTGTCTGTTTAAGGCACTATTTTAAAGAAAGTAGCAACTGTTTTATGAGGCACTCTCTATGCTTACCAAAGCCCTTTCTCACTAAGATGTATCTTTTTGGGGGGTCTTTTTTATTTAGCGATTTGAGAGAGGGATGGGAGAAGTGAGGGAGGGATGGATTTGTTGTTCCACTAATTTATGCATTTGTTGGCTGATTATTCTTTGTCCTCTGACCAGGGATCAAACACACAGCCTTTGCATATCAGGAAGACACTCTAACCAACTGAGCTGCCCCACCAGGGCCCACCAAAGTATATCTTTAAAAAAATCTTCACCCAAGTATATGCTTAATGGTTTTATAGAGAGAGAAAAAGAAAGAGAGAGGGAGGCATCGATATAAGAGAGAAACATTGATCAGTTGCCTCCCTACATGATTGACTGGGGATGAAAAGCACAACCTAGGTATGTACCTTACTGGGGATTGAACCCACAACATTTTGGTGTATGGGACAATGCTCCAACCAAGGCCAGAGCACCAAGGTATATCTTGAAGGTGAGTAAAATAACAGTAGTAATAGCATTTTAGGATCTAGAGAAATTGAATGATTAACTGTGAAGAGTTAAACATTTTGTGTTTTAATGACAAATGTGAAGATCGGAAATTCCAGTGTGGGCAGTAGTCTTTATAAGAAGGGATAATTAGAAATATCATCTTAACGTGTTTCCACATCTTTTTTTTGTTTGTTTTTTATTTTTGAGTCTAAGGGATAAAGATTTGATCACAGAATTCCTAGAATGAAAGAAAGGTGATCAAGGCATAGATAAACTCTCAGAATTTCCACCATTCTGAGAACAATGCCTTCAATAATCTGCTCTGTTGGTAATATCAGGAGAATTCTCTTTTAACCACATCCCAGGACCCAGTAATATAGAGACTAAAAACACCCCAGTCTATTAATACATCCCCTATAACCCATCACCATTGTAAATGGTGGCTTTGGAAACTTTCAGAATGAAAAACCTGCCTTATGAATCAGCTAGAAATTGTGTCGTTGACAGTCTGTTTGATTTTGTTGGAAACCTTTCCCCTGAGGAATAAAGACTTGTTTATGACTGAGTTCTTGGAGAATAAAGTCTGAGATGAGATTATTTTTTACCCAACCCATTTCACTCTCTTTAACCACCAAGTTCTCACTTGCCTCTGGATTGAACTATTTCAAGAGCCTCATGAACTGCCTTTGTGCACCTAATGTCCTTCCACTCTTTGCTAGAGTCCTTTCCATAGAGCTCTGACCCTGTCTGGAGTGAACAGAACAGAAAGAGCACAAGCAAGAGAGACCTGGGTTTGAGCCTCAACTCTGTCACTGCCTGTGTGACTTCTGAGTTTTGTGTTCTTCATCTAGTGGATTTGTGATGCCTACACTGCAAAGTCATTATGAAGATTAAAATAAGGCATATATCTGGCACATAGAAGGTATGCTATAAATGATAATTTTTACATTCTAGTGGTCTTTTATTGACTACCAAATGAAGTTAAATTTTTTTAACTTGTTATCCAAGGCCTTGGATCATTCATTTGACCCCATCCTACCTTTCCAGTCTTAAGTCCCAATATCCTCAACTTATTGTCCCATGCTCAGGGCCACAGCAGACCACGCACTTTCCCAATGTTCTGCTGTCTTTGCTCACAGGGTCCTCTCTGCCTGGAATCTCCACTTATGGGAATTTACTAGTCCAGCAGGGCTCTTTTTGCATGCCATCTTTGTGAAACCTCCTCTGATAGCTTCCTGCTCCCATAGATCTTCATATTCTGACTTTATTACTGTATTACTGTTATTATGTCTATGCCTTTCTCCCTTTCACTAGGTGACAAATCTCTTAAGGATAGAGCGTGTCTTGTTTATTTTTATATTTCCTATAGTGCTGAAAAGGGTAATAAGAAGTATTGAATAAATTTTTTGGAGGACCGAGTGAATGAAAGAGTCCTCATAATACTTCCAATTGCCCCGCTTCCACCAAGAACATTCATATCCTCAAATAAGTTATAACTTGCTAGCTATAACAGGAGCTTATTTGAAATGTGTTTCCCAGGAATAGGGCATGAATAATTGTAAAGACTTCCCTGTTCTGGCTTGGGCTGAACTCCCACTTTGCAAAGACCCTGATAAGACAGAAATTACATCAGAAGCATTCCTAAAATCATGCCCACTTTATCTCCAAGGTGAAGAAGTACTTACACCTGGGTTAGTTCACAGCCCAACATAACTGTGCCACTTCCCCAAAACAAGGAAAAGGACTCTATATGCATACTCGTGTTTCACTTCTTGACACATCATTCTGTGGACAGTTTGAATTATTATATAGGGGTGGGGAAAAAGTAGGTTTGTAGTTGTATGTGAAACACAGAGTTTATTCTTGTATTATTATTTATTAATTATTATATTATTTTCCATACAAACAACTGTAAGCCTACTTTCACCCACCCTCGTATATCTAGAAAACAAGGATATGAAATTATAGACTTTGCTACCTTATCTTTCTTTCTAGGTAAGTGAAAGAAGAAGTCATTAGAAAATTCACACTCAATTAAGAAGAGTGGTTTGAGGTAAAAGTTGGTGGTTATTTCTTTAAAAAAAACAACTTTGACAAAACACATTTGAAGGATGAATGAAATGCAAAATTTGCTTATGTAAAAATATTGCATGCACATATAGTACACACATAAACACACACAAGAATATAAGAAAAAGTAGTGTTCTAAAAATGAGCATTCTTATATTTTCAAAATTTCCATAGAGTTGCACCTATAATGGGCTTCCTAGATATGATTTGAGTAAAAAACAAAGTATATATCCTTGAATGCAAACTATTCTGGGATCTTGAATTATCCCAATAATTTGTATACAAGTTACTGACATCACAGGCACATTTACATGGTTTTAGAGTTATTTCTAGCAGACTTTTAGTATTATTTTAACAGCTGGTGAGTGCAGCAGGAAAATAAATCAATTGAGAAATTTTAAAAATTTTCTTTTAAAATATCAGGCCCCCCAATTCATCCCGGAATTAACTGTCAAAGACTTTGAGTCACAGGAGAGTCCACCATTCCCAGATCTTGTATAGATCAGGGGTAACTGAGGCATGGAATGGGGCCCCAGATGATCATGGACAAGAAATACAGCCCAGAATTCAAACCCCTTTTCTGCCCCTTCTATTCAGTGCCCTCTGGGATTCTGTGGTTGGGGAAATATAACATCCATTAGTCTTTCCATGCTCCTGAGGGCACCCATGACCCCTTACCTATCACGCAGTCAGTTACCATGATGAATGTGAAGAACCTCCACATCAGCAGGCTTCGCTCCATCTTCCTGGCACCTGGGATAGACTGCCTATTTAGCGACAGTGAAGAGCAGATCTTTCTCTGCAAAATTCTGGGTTTCCTGTCAGCCTCTTGTTAGCATTGTGCTGGGAAGATGAGAGAGAAAGGGATCAGTCCATTAGGTTGTCATCCTTGCTGGCCCATCCAGTCTCTATGACAGTCAGGAGTTGCACTTTATAAGTGTTAGGCTGATTTGTTCAGCCAGGAAATCGTGTCTGGCAGTATCTTCTCTAGTCTCAGATAGGAAGTGGTTTTAACCAAGTGTTTTTCAAGTTCAGTTGCTGGGAGGTGTGGGTTGAAGTTGGTGAGAAGGATTGGACTTTGTTGATGAGTCTTCTTCAGTTTCGCCCAGAACAGGAAAGGGAGATTCCCCTGCCTGTTAAAGGAGGGTGAGCAAGCACTTCTTGGCAGTGGTCTCACCTAGTAGTTCATAAATTGACGTCACCAAGAAACTGAAGTCTTCCTCCAGACTTGCAGCTCCAAGAGAAGTTAGCAGGGGCCCCACAAGATGGTGGAGCATGGCCATGCCAAGAGCATCGAAGAAAATCCTTGGCCATAGATGGCAATTTCCTAAAACTGTCTGACCACCGATCCCTTTAAAAGTCCTGGTGTCAGGACAGGTCTCCAATATTCAGGTATTTGAAGAGGAAGCAGCAGATGGACCCATACTCAGAATTCATGGAGAATCTCCCAAGATTATAATTAGTACTATCCATAGTCATTTTACCAGGATGTCCTGTGTTTCCAAATGTGAGTTGTCATTTCATATTTTACCTTCAGATTAGTTTTTCTTTTTGGTTTTAAACTCTGGACTTTCTGTGAATTAAATCTTGCTTCCTAGTTTAATTCTCAGAGAACTATCTCCTGGTTTTCACAAAGTGGTTGACTGTGTTTTGCTATCTGGAAATTCATGTCCATTAACACTCATCTTGTTATAGTAAAATACAATGTAAAAATATTAGAAAGAAAAAAGGTATTGACAAAAGGAAGACCATCCAGGCATTCCACAGCAGTTCAGGGTTCCAGCATGTATTTCTTCTACCTCTGACCCCTCAGAGAAACATCTAGCTCTGAATAGAGTGTTGGGATTTTGAAAATGAAGTAAAACATTGCAGAGAAAAATAGTAAACCAATCTCTTTCTCTGAGTAGTATACTTATCAAAATGTGACAAGATTATCTTTTAAAATTCCATAGCAGGCTTAACCTTATTGCTAGAAACATTTTCAATTGTATGGAATATGTAGCAATTCCTGTCACTAAGCTGGGGATTTTTGCTAACTATAGTAATCATCATATAATTTTGAAACAAACTTACAGAAAAATTGGAATTATATTACAAATAATTTTCCTCCCCTAAATCTTTTACAAGTATTGACAACATGAAGTTTCCTCACCCTTGAATATATCAGTGTGTGTTTTCTATGAACAAGGACATTCTCCAATATTACAACCATTAAAATCAGGAAATGACATTGATGCATTACTACCATTTAATCCTCAGACCCAGGTTTCTCTACTTGTCTCAATAATGTGTTTTACAGCAAAAGGATCCAGTTTAGAACCACTTGTTGCATTTCGTTGTCATGTGTGCCTTTAGCAGGTCCTTTGTCTTTTCTTGATTTCATGACCTGGCACTTTTGAGGAATACAGGCAAGTTATTTTGTAGACTATCCCACCATTTGGGTTTCTTTATTATTTCCTCGTGATTAGATTCAGGTTTTGCATCTTTGTCAGGAATCACACAGTAGTGGTACTGTGTACTTATGGCGTCCTTTTATTTCATTACTGATGATGTTCACTCTGATCACTTGATTCAAGCAATGTCTTCCAGGTGCCCCCACTTTAAAGCCACTGTTGTCTTCTTTGTAATAAATATTTTGTGATAATATGTTAATATCCCATTTTCAATCAAATTTTCATATCAAATTTTCAATTTATTCATTCACTTATATCTGTATGGACTCATGCCCTTTTCTATTTTATTCAGTGGGTTATAATCTATTACTGTCATTTATTTTAAAGCCTAAATTATCTCCTGTTTGTCCATTGGAAATCTATTCAGGCTGGCTTCTGTGTCCTTTTGACATGTCCCATCATTTTTTGAATACTTCCTTGCTTTGGAGGCATAAAAAGATTTTCCAGTTTCACCTTGTGGTTTCTCTGTCGAATTCCTGATTTATTCAATCAGCCACTTATCTAAAGTTCCCTGGTTCCTTTAGAGGAAAATAGTCATTATAAACCAAGTTATGCTCATTGCATTGGGGTGACACTCTTCCCAGGCTCTTGCCACAGACAGAGCTAGGGACTGTATGCACACACACATACACACTCACCTTTATATCTATATTTATTTCTATATCCATCTACACATATTGAAAGCCATGAGTTCACACCGATACATCCCAACATCCCAATTCCCATTTAATACCACAGCACTGAACTCTAGTTTTGTCCTTTTTTGTGTTTGTAACTCCCTTCCATGACTGTGGGAAATTTGGCTTCCATTATCCCTAATCAATTTACTTTTTGATCTTCCTGTGTATGTTGTCAGTCTCTTATCTCTGCCACCAATCCCTTCCCCATGTGGACATCCTGTTCTCTCTGCTCAGGCTATGAACCCCTATTCTGAGACAATGCCCAGGCTCTGAGAGGATGGCCTCCTCAGCCTCATCAAGCTCTGACACTCCTTACCTGGTTAGCCCCCATGGTCCCATGGATATCCTTCTGACCCTGTGTAAGTGCTACAAGCTTATATTGGGCCATTGCCCTTGGAGATGACCTCCTCCACTTTCTTGGCTGTGACACCCCTTGGCACCAGCTCCATGTGTGAACCCCCTTCCCACCTGACTTGTGCTCAGATAGCCCTTGAGTATCAGCCTATCTTTATGGACACCCTCTCAGGTTTCGACTTTCTCTACTGGCCTGCTCTTTGTGGGGACACCTGCTCTACTCTGCTAGGGCCTGACTCCCCTTGGAGACACCACTTTCGTCCTTGGGCTGTGACACCCCCCAACTCCAGGCTACTAAGTCACTTTCCACTGGACATTGTAGTTGCCTCCCTTGCTTTGCTCCATCTGAAAACTTTAGGAATGAATTGTTCAGAAATGGTAAGGGAAAAGGAAGTCTTATGGCCACTATTCAAGAGTAAGGCAGTAAAGGGAAAATGAAACCAAAATGTCAAATCCAGACAACTTTGAATAATGAGGTCATATGTATGAAGAAGCAAATAAAGCCATAATGATGTACAAGCATTTAATGTGTGTCATATTTTTTAAAGGTTTTATTTATTTATTTTTTGAGAGAGGAGAAGGGAAAGAGAGAGGGAGAGAAACGTCAGTGTATGGTTGCCCCTCACATGCCCCCTACTGGGGACCTGGCCCACGATCCAAGCATGTGCCCTGACTGGGAATCAAATTAGCAACACTTTGTTTTGCAGTCTGGTTCTCAATTCACTGAGCCACACCATCCAGGCCCTTCATATTTTTTAAAAGCTCTAGAGCATCTTGAGAATTAATATTTCTTTTTTTCTTCTTTTTATTGTTCAATTACAGCTGTACCACTTTTTTCCCACTTGCTCTTCCCTGCCCCACCCTGCCCCACTCCCACAGTCAATCCCCACCCTGTTGTCCATTCCCATGGGTCCTTTATACATGTTCCTTGACTTGCCCCTTCCCCTTCTTTCCCCATAATCAGCCTGCCCCCTCCCCTCAGATTACTGTCAGTTTATTCTTCATTTCAATATCTCTGGTTATACTCTGCTCACTTATTTGTTTTGTTGATTAGGTTTTACATATAGGTGATATCATATGGTATTTCTCTTTCACCACCTGGCTTATTTCACTCAGCATAATGCTCTCCAGTTCCATCCATGCTGTCATGAAGGGTAGGAGCTCCTTACTTGCTGCTGCATAGAATTTCATTGTGTAAATGTAGCACAGTTTTTTGATTCACTTATTTACTGATGGGCACTTTTAGGCTGCTTCCAGCACTTGGCTATTGTAAATTGCACTGCTATGCACACTGGGGTACATAGGTTATTTTAAATTGGTGTTTCAGGATTCTTAGGGTATAATCCCAGCAGTTAAACCCAAAGTGGGTAAAAGACTTAAATGTAAGTCATAACACCATAAAAGTCCTAGAGGAGAACATAGGCAGGAAATCTCAGATATTCCATGCAGCAATATTTTTACTGATATGTCCACTAGAGTAAGGGATATAAAAGAAAGAATAAACAAATGGGACTTCATCAAATTGAAAAGCTTTTGCACAGCTAAAGAAACCATCAGCAAAATGAAAAAAGATCCAACCATATAGGAAAACATATTTGCCAATGATACTTCAGAAAAGGGTTTGATCTCCAAAATATGTAAAGAACTCACACAACTCCACTGCAGGAAGACAAGCAATTAAAAAAATGGGCAAAGGATCTGAACAGACATTTCTCCAAGGAGGACATACAGAGGGCCCAGAGACATATGAAAGGATGCTCAGCATCACTAGCCACCAGAGAGATGCAAATTAAAACCACAATGACATACAACTTCACACCTGTCAGAATGGCCATCATAAACAAATCAACAAACCACAGTGCTGGAGAGAATGTGGGGAAAAGGGAACCCCAGTGCACTGTTGGTGGCAATGTACACTGGTGCAGCCAGTGTGGAAAACAGTGTGAAATTTCCCCAGCAAACTAAAAATGGAACTGCCTTTTGACCCAGCAATTCCACTGCTGGGATAATGATATTTATTTATAAATATTTTGAGGATCAAAGAAATTTGAGTAACCCAAGTTCATTATATGTACTTAAGGTAGACAGGAAAAATTTATCTCAAAGTTTAATTTCTTACTGTATAAAACAATCAAAATTTGAATCTTGATATTTTTTGCTTTATAACAGAGCTCTCCTCAATCCCTTATCATCATAATTAGAAGAACTAAATCCATTTCTTACAAACAAAATAATAAAATATTAGCAAAATAGATTAAATATCTTATTTTACACTTTTATTACTTAAAATGATACACAAATTATTAAAATAAAATAATGATTTGGGGAACCTTTTTAATCAAATAATGATGACTTTTATGAGTAGTGTTGCTAACTTAGAGCCTTATATCAGAGGCTACATTTGACAAATTTTACATCCTACCCTGAACTGATGTGTTGGGAGAAACAGAAGAATATAGAAACTGCTCACTGCTCCAAAAAAT